AAATAATGATCTACTACACATAACTTAAGTAATGCAACTAACATGGAGAATCACAATAACTTTCCTTGTTCCTCACCTGCAAGTTGGGACTAGCTCCATCATTCAACAACAGTTCAAGACACACATCACCCTGCCCTGACACCGCAGCATAATGTAATGGTGTCTAAGAAGATAAAGAAACAATGAGTTGCAACTTGCACAGAAAGCTACAGAAGGGGCTGCCTGCCAGTAAACACTGGGCCGGTAGCTGTGTTCTCAGCAGGGCCTTCTGGGCAAGTAACTTTTCACTCTCACTTGCCCAATGGGCAAGGGATCAGGCAAGTACAGTAGACTGCAAACTAAATCATTAAAAGAGCAAACTAAGACTCGCCCGGGGCAAGCAAAATTTTAGAGCTACATGTACTCATCCCAAGGGCAAGCTGGAATGAATGAGCTGCCAGTAATCGGATACCCATGTTATGTGCAAAGAACACTGGGATCGCCAGGGGGCAAACATTGCAAGTCACTAGAAGGAAATGTATGGCGAAAAGTTGTTTCGACATCCAAAAAAAGGATTTTGGAGAGAAATCAACACTTTTTCACCGTTTTTTTATCGCAAATGGACTTGGGCAATGTTAATATGCAGAAAATGTAAGTTTTTGTTTGAATAACCGTGAAATATGTGATAAAATCTACCGATAAACTTCTTTGCTTGTTTTAAGGTTTATTGCAAAATTTACATCGTGTAATGGTTCGAAATATCACAAAAATTAGGTATAAATCGAGAGGAAATAACCCAATAAAGCCTTTTCAGTTTCAGTTTACGTGTGTACAGCCTGTTTTCATATTAGTTGCATCTTTCATAAACAAATTATGGCTTCTGGAAATGTACCTCCTCAAAGGAGAGAAGTCATTGTCAGAGGAGACGGTAACTGTTTCCACCGAGCTATTGCTCTTTGGAGGGATGAAATGAGCTATGAGAAACATGAAGAAATCCATAGGTTAAGTTCTACCTTGATTGAGAAAAATCCGAAGCTTTTTCGGCCGCTACTCTTCTCTTCGCACTCTGTAAAGGAACATGTTAAGAGAAGCAAGATCACGGGAACTTGGGCAGAAACTGTCGACATATTCAGTTGTGCATTGCTGCTTAGGCGACCGATTTGCACTTTCTCGACATCACAGAAAAAGTGGTTTACTTTTAATCAGACTATGATCACTGATTCATGTTCATCGATCACAACAAAGAAGCAATGCAGGTGTCCAATCACTTTGATGCAAGGGAAAATCCCTAAAAGACATCCTAGTTAAAGCTAAGCTATGAAGGCTTTAGAACTTATTCATCTCCGAACCGCAGGAGTTGTGCAGGCTTGTCGACACTTTATCACTCTGTCGGACCTTCGTACTCGTTGCAACCTTGAATTGATCACGATTAATAGCTCTAGCCCACGACAAAACATCTTTCTTATTCTTGGGCGGGTAGAACCTTAATATGCCAACATGAGGAAGAATGTTTTGCTTTTCTGGGTACCTTCGATCATTGTCACAACCCCACACAGCACAATGATCGCCACCGGGCATATTTCCAATATTATTTATATAACTGAGCTTCAAAATAAGCCAAAAGCAGCCTGTCCACAACTGAAAAGGCTTTATTGGGCTATTTCCTCTCGATTTATACCTAATTTTGTGATATTTTAGACCATTACACGATGTAAATTTCGCAATAAACCTTACGCAAGCAGGGAAGTTTATCGGTAGATTTTATCACATATTTCACGGTTATTTAAACAAAAACTTACATTTTCCGCATATTAACATTGCCCAAGTCCATTTGCGATAAAACAACGGTGAAAAAGTGTTGATTTCTCTCCAAAATCCTTTTTTTGGACGTCGAAACAACTTTTTGCCACACACTTCCTTCTAGCGAGTTGCAATGTTTGCCCCCTGGCAATCCCAGAGTTCTTTGCACATAACATGGGTATCCGATTACTGGCAACTCATTCATTCAAGTTTTTTTGGTGTCCTGCTCAGTGTGCACAGAAAGTCATGTCTGCTAGCCCAGGGCTGGTGGATTTTCCAGTTAGGCTAGTGAATTCTGTCCATTGCTTGTCTGATTGGAAACTAGAATTTTTTTAGGAAATTCAAATTAAAGAAGTACAGTGTAACGTATATGTATTAATTTTATTAATTTCATTAATTAATCATTCTAGTGAGCGATTTTTAAGGGAATAGTGAGAATCACTCTTGGGCTAGTACACCATACCTACAACTCAGAAATTAAAATTCTTTGCATTCTGTTTCTCCTCAAAATTACACACGCAAAAGCCTGTGGTGCAAACATTTGACAAAAGGCAGCTGCAGGAATGTATGTATGTACATAATGGCTCATGCCCTGTTTCAAGGACTTTCCAGGGTGTCCTATAAAAAGGTTCAAATTTTCCTACTACTGTATTATATGCAGTGTATGTGTACCCCCTGTCTCCCCCAACGCCAACTTCAACACAGTGGTATTCTTCTGGAATTGTCAGTGCAATGTAGTACTTTTCTGCCACCATGTAGGGAAGAGGGAGAGAAACGTCAATTGCAGTGCATGTGGTTTTTTTTTTCCTAAACCTGGCTGGGGAAACTGTTTATACATTTCACAGTGCAACTTGAAAAAAAGATACCATACATGTAGATTGTCAGGTTGTGACTCTCAAACAAGAACAAGGCTTTCCTACAGATATACTGTTGAAGAGGTGTTACAAAAGAGATCTATGAAACAATGTACATGTACACTGTATAGTGCATTGAGCACCTTTGTGTATGTACCATGAAGTACTTTAAGGAATACATACCATGCCTTTCTTGTTAGTGGCATTGACAGAGGCACCGAAGCTCATCAGCTCACTGATGACTATGTCCTGACCATTGAGACAAGCTATGTGAAGGGGTGTGTTACCATTTAAGTTCTGAGCATCCACCTGCACAGAAAGTGCCAGAAACAAATTAACCAGCTGCAATAAGCAAGCTCTCAAAGAATTCATGTACATGCAGCTAAGAGCTCGAACATCCAAATGTTTAAATTAAACTAAAAACTCAAAAAACAGAGGATGTGTTCCATTGAAATGACCTTCAAATGAACAAAGAAACAAACAAACAGAAAACAAACATAAATGATTGATCATGAAAATGAGAGTGTTTAGTGATGGTTTGGGGTTACACGAGACTAACGTTACAGAAACCCTTAGCAGGCTACATTTACATACATGTACATGTAAATCACTATTATGGAATGTCCATGTACTTTACAGAAACCTGCTTGATTCATTTGGACACTGGTTTTCTGAAAGATTAGTACGACTTTGTTTCAAAATTGACTTCAACCACTTGACTACAGTTGACCACCTACTGGCAAACACCCTAACTCCACATTCTTAGCATCAAATGTTCATGTATGCCCAGCAATTTAAGAAATTTACAAAGACTGAGAGTCTTACTGAAGCTCCACGTCCCAACAGCTGCTTCAATGTAGTCAACTGTCCCCCAGCGGCTGCGGCATGGAGAGGAGTGTAATGCTGCAACAACAACAGCAACAAAAGCACACTTAAGTTAAGACAGTTTGTATTTAGTTGCTAGCCTAGGTACGTGTAGTTTAAGCAAGTGGTCCATGCTGCAGCAGTTAGAAAGAATGGACTACCCCTGGGGAAGAGCCAAAGCAGTGGCAAAGAACCGTGTGTGTTGAAGGGTACTGGTGGGCGCCCTATGCTCCTGAGGGGATGACGAAGGATAATGATGATGACACTTAGTTCAAAATGACTTTTTCAAAATCCTAATTGAGGATTTGTGAAGTTGTGAGATGACTAAAAGGACATTTCTTAAGTATTGTAAATTTGGTAGTTGATCAAAATGTTTGAACCAGTAATCCCATGTACTTATACAAAGTTATCTCCATTAGAAGCTCTATTTACTAGACAAGTACTTGTACAAAGTTATGTTTATCTCCATTAGAAGCTCTATTTACTAGACAAGTATCAAAACAGCGTAACACCAACTGTGTACAAATAACAATGTAGCCATTGTTACATAGCTATACAGTTGAACCCACTATTTCAAACTCTGAGAGGGAAAGAAAAAAGTTTGAAACAGTGGGAGTTTGAAACACCTGATAGTAAAATTTCAAACGGCTTCCAAACGGAATTCCATTTGAAAATGGAAAGCCGTTAAAGTATGTTTCTGCGTGAAAGGTCACAATTAGTGACAGAAGGGCAAATCTACATGCACATAGGATTTCATCCAGAGGCATTCATACCTTTTTGTCTTTGCAGTTAATCTCAGCTCCTGCTTTGAACAAAACTTCTAAGCACTCAATGCGACCTAAAAGATCAAAGTGATAAGACACCAAGTGATATTAAAAGAGATACATGTACATGTACAAAACCTTAATTATACATAGTTTCACAAAAATAAATTAAATAAACTATATTCAGCAAACTGATCATAAGGTTGGCCACTACCTGTATGTCTCCTGGTTAAGCAAGAAGACTCACCCATATATGCAGCCCAGTGGATTGGTTTTCTGTCTTTCTTGTCTGCAGCATTAACATGAGCCCCTTTGGTTAAAAGAAGCTGTGCCATCTACAAGCAAGAAATAATCCAGTTAATATAAGTTCTTTATCAAAATATTTAATGATAATGCGTGTATGTACATTTCAAACTGTCATTTCAGCTCCATCATGAAGTTTTCAAAATATAATGTATAAGGCCCTAAACAGCAAATGTAATTTCACTCAGTTTGTTTCACTGTGCAAATTAGGTGAGGCTTTTGTTGAGTACAGTACACATTAATTTGTACCTCAACATGACCATTGAACGCAGCATGGTGTAAGCTTGTCCTTCCTGCTCTGTCGGTGACATTCACATTTGCAAGGTAAGGTATAAGAACATCTATAAACAAGAACATCCTTGTAAGAACCAAATGCATATACAGTGCATGTCCAGTTACATTGTAAAGTTTGATTGCTAGTGCTACATTTAGAACACTACTCTGAAGGTACAGTACTTGTGAAATGTTAGTCAACAATCCCCTTTTGAGTCGAGGATTGAGACTCCAGGGATTCTAAATTCTCTTGAGAATCAAGTATCAAGTATTGCAAAAAAAAGAGTAGTGAAAATCAAGTATCAAGAATTTAGTCAAGAATCAAGTCTTAAAAGATAATGAGCTTGTTGCTAAAGTGATTTATGCAAGGAATCACCGTGGCAAATAAAGTTGATTGATTGACTGACTGACTGACTGACTGACTGACTGGCTGACAGACTGAGTCACTGACTAACTGAGAGACACAGACACAGACACAGACACAGACAGACAGACAGACAGATTGATCACTTTTTTTTGGACATGTTCATGTAACAAAAGCAGAGACACTTCACAATAGGACCACTGCTGTACATGTCACCAGTGGCAATTGCTTTTATCTCATTTGCAAAGATGGATCTGAAATGAACATAATTATGGTGTTCATGTAACATGACAGATCGGTCATTTCTCAGGGTAACAAACTCACTCCAGAGTCAAAGAGATTTGAAATGCATGTACATGTAGAGGTTTAATGACATCACATACCAGCACATCTCATGTGATTATTGCCTGCTGCGACATGCAGAGGTGTTTGCCAGTTCTTGTCTCGTGCATTGACATCTGCAGAACTTTTGATCAATGCTTTGACACAATCCTGAAACAAACCAAGTGTTTACACATATTACATATTCATTATTATAATGATACCTAGATCATGGTTTACATGTAGCAGTAATTCCAGTTCTCAGAGAAAGAAAGAAATTCCTCACTTCAACTCTACAAGTTCGAACTTCAAATAATTCTAGTTGTGAAGATGTACCATGTAACTGTAGGTTACACTACCATACAATTATAAAACAGCCTAATGACAACTTACCACACTGCCTGATGCACATGCGCGATGGAGTGGCGTCATCCATTTGTTATCTTTTGTATTCACTCTGGCTCCTGAAAATCATAATGACCAGTGCAATGTTAATAGATGGATAACATGATTGAGCTTTTTTTCTATGTAGCAAGCTGAAGATGACTCTTGAACCCATTCTATTCTGCATATTTTGCAGCAAATGCTGTTATACAATCTCTCTTTTCTTTTTTTAAATGAGGACATTTATTTACACTTAAATTCATTTAATTACAATTCTTTCTTTCAGTTGTTTCTTTACAAAAACTACATTACATTTACAATATTCACAACTTTATATTAACTACATTACTTTCACAATACTCACAACTTTACAATAACTACATAACTTTTACAATACTCACAACTTTACAACACTACATTGCTTTTACAATACTCAACTACGTGCGGGTACAAGTACATTACTTGTAATACAATTAGTTTACATTAGCTATTATTACAAGATGGGCTTATTGGCATTCATAGTGTTTTTAACTAATTGTCCTTACAATAGATTTTTTAGTTAATTGTCAATCTTACCATTAGCAATGAGAATACTGATGCATTCACTCTCTCCACAGTGAGCAGCTGCATGTAATGCAGTTCTCTTCTCTTCATCCTATATGGAAGATTGATTGATTGCTGTCAGTCTTGTTCAGGATTTAAAATAAAAAAAAATACATATATAATGTAAGCTGAGCTAGACTATCTTCCTACTGGCACATTATAAGTATATTATAAGTACACAAGAATATTTACTGTATGTCACACTGTTACATCCACAAAAAGAAAACAAAAACAAAAACAAAGCAAAACAACATAAGCAGCAATTCTATTTAATTAACCAATCTTTTTCCACTGTCTGCATATAAAGTACATGCCCATCCTTATCGGCCATAGAAACGAAATTATAAAATGTCCCACACTTTGCAGAGAAACCACACACCTGCAAATCATGGGTAAAATTGAGTGAAACATTTTATGACATCATTCCTACAGTCTACAAAAGTATAGACCATAGAGAAGTGTGGTAAATTTGAAAAATTTAAATAAAAAATACTGCACGTGTACATACAAAGATGAAAATTAGAAAAAAAAAACATGAAAATAAAACACACTCAAGGTGCATGAGGTTTGAGAATAATAATTTGACAAGATCAAAGCTTGGTCCTGAAGTTTGTGCAGGTGATGTTATCATGCATCAGATCTTTGTAGAACTAATATATTTGTCAAGTGTAACAAGGTGATTCAGATTTATTTTTGGTTTCATGTTTAAACCAATGGTCTCCATCTCTGTTCCAATGTAAAAAGCTTACATGCACATGCACCCAGTTGTTCTAGATCTGAAGATGAATGATACACTGCACATGCTAGAGTACGAGCTGTTCAAATTTGAAACAGCATTTCGTTTCATAGCTTCGTTCACACAACAAACCACATGCAAATATCTAAGCTGTAAATTATTAGTTGCAGGCGGTTTGTAAGCTTAAATATTTGATAAGCTTGTGTGTCATCTTCAAGAAAATTCTTGATTTCCAGGTGACCTCGAATCCTTACGGAAACTATTCAGAAAAGAACATACTCCTGGATTTTATTTACCTGGCGATTTACATCTTCTTTTCTGCTTATCAACGTCCTCACCTCGGCTGCATCACCGTGAAAGCACGCCTGTACCAGGGGAGGCTAAAAGGTGTAATGATACAAAAATGCAATTAAGTTCTTATAATACAGTGAGCTTCTTCACCAGCTACGAGCTTGGAGATTAAAAACAACGCTCTTAAATCTTCCAGGAAAATAGAACGTGTCGATTGAGAGTCGCTTCAAGCGCAGTCGTTATTTACCTCGTCCACTAACTGTTGAACTACCATTTAAGGCTTATATTTCCATCCAAGTATCGGGTGTATACACTTCAGCTATGCAACAACGATGAAACTCCAGCCTTCTTGATTCCGCATACACCACTCTTGCACAGTATCACCCTGCTGTCAGCTCGCTGAAGATTCGTCCACTTCCAATAACCGAAGGCTTCCTGAAAATCCGAGAGAACGCATTGGTTATGAAGCATTCAGGTCAACTCCATCGCAAGTTGTTGGCCTTGATTCAGGCTTCAAGCAATCCGCCATCTTGGTCGACCACAGAGAAGAATCTTATTGGCTGAGGCTAGTCACGTGAGAAGCCTCGCTGGGAGTGAAATTCCCGAAGCGGAAATTGGCGCCACTTCTGCTTTGTGTTTCGTCTGCGTTCATCTTGCATCTTGCATTTCCAGGATACAATAAAATAGCTATACTATGCAATAAAGTAAATTAGTATTCTTGTTTCAGGATTTTAAGAATAAAAATGCATCCATTGCGGATAAGAGTGATTACAGATTCTTTCAAAAGTCATAAACCAAAACACACCCCTACGCGACTTCTGACCACTAACTCGGCCCCAATCCCCATCAACCAATGCAACGCCACAAACTACTAGATGCAGATGGCGGATGAAGGACCGGTGGGAAGAAATTTTCCCACCGCTGTTTCCTAAGGACGGGAGCCTTTTTCAAAAGAAATGTTCCGCTATTTTTCAGCTGTTGGACTGAGAGAATTTTTATATTTTTTGACCGGCTGGGAGGTCAGTATTGGGAAAAACTGTACCCGAGGTCTTGAGTACGGCTCGAGACCGCAGTATCTCCCAATACGGACCGACCAAGCCGGCGGAAAATAACGTGTTTATCTTTTCTCTACGACACTGCTTTGCCGTAGATTTTGTGTTGAATTTTATTCCGGCGTATGCGTGGATCTGCGTGCGTTCGACATTTCAGGCGCAAAAACCGATACCGTTTGCATAATTGCTTGACTCTGTGTTGAATGTTTACATGTTCAGTTCGCTGCAAATTTGGGTGCAATGCAGTCTGCAATGGGTGTCCAGATGAAAAATGGGCTTTTGAACATTATGCTAGCATTTTTTCGAGCACTTTTGTGAGGCAAAAGCATTAAGCATTATTCGAGCATTTTAATAGCATTTTCCTGGAAATATATTTTCTTTTCCACGTACAAAAAATAGAAATAAAAATTACTATTTACCTGAAAACGAAGACTTACCTTGAAATTGAAAAAGTTTCAAATGCCACCCTAATACAGCCGAGTGGAGCATTAAAGATGATTTCCAGTCCGTACGTACTGCACACTCTCGAGAGTTTGTTTGCGTTTTTTTTATTTTGTTGCATGTAAGACATCACAGCATGAAGTAAATTCAGTTTCAAAACATGCACCGCCATAATGGATGCCAAGCGGTCGAATCTTTATGCTTCGTTCTTTCTCATTTCACTTGATGAAACAACTTCGCAGCTGTAAAAATAAATAAAGCTGTTGGAAAAAGAATTTGGGAAGCTTCAAAGATAAGGTATGTGTTTAGTAACGAATAACATCGATTCGCATTCCATCGAGTGAGCCTTACAATCATCATAAGGGTGCTGAGACTGCGCAATACGGACTGGAAATTTAGTGGGGAAATATAAGCATAATGTACAAAAGCCTAATGGAAAAATCCGGCCCGCTCGAGCGAGAGCGATCAAGGTTTAGGGTTCCGGACCGCTGAGCTGAGCTGGCGAAAAAAGTCAAGTCTTTTCATTCAACGTGACGAAGTTATCGCTCGAGGTCGGGTCCCTAAACCGGACACTGATCCTTAAATCTTATCAAATTATCTGAATATGTGGTAAAATTCTCCCAACCAATGGTGTAAAGTAAAAGTGAGGAAAAGCAAGGAGAATTTGTACATCGGTCTTATATAAAAGCAACCACCGTAGGAAAAAGATGGCGGCTGTACGTTTTACCACAATGCCTCGCGAACCTAACACAGCCCAAAAGGCACGAAGAAAGCCTTATAATTGCAATATTTGTCCCTGTACAAAGGATATTAAGTAACCTAGGTTTGAAGATTTTATAACGTTTCTGTACGTTTTTATGAACGTTGTTTAGGTTTTCGTGCGCTAAGAACTATGGGTGAATGTACCAGTCGCCATCTTTTTTCCTACGGAGGATTGTGCGCGCGCTTTTCGATAATTTGGAATTGTTACGTGCAGTGACGTCATCAGGGCGTGTTGCAAAGAAAAGAGAAAAATCGAACGCAAAGATGTCACTTCATTATGGAGGGATATCTTTTGTTCTGTTCCTTTTCTTGTACTTCATAAACTTTGGCATTGAAGGAACGAATAACAGTCGATTTGGAATCCGAATTGTTCGTAAAACAAAGCTGAAGAAATTTCAGGCTGTCGATGGCAATGATTTTTACGATGTGACGAGCTCGCGTTCTGGGGAGAGCGACAACTGCGATGGGAAAAAGAAAAAGAAGAAAGCGTTCAAAAGAAATAAAGTCACACCAGCACCGGGAGAAGAGGAAGCTTGGAGTAGAACAAACGGAAAGAAACCGCGTGCGGCAAACAAGTACCTTGCCCAAGAAAGCTGTTATACCGATCACACTGAGATTGTAGAAGAAGATGGTAAAATGACATTGAAAACTTCACTCCAGAAGTGGAACCTTAAAACTGGAAGAGAAATCAAACTTGGCAAGAATGAAACTGACGAGTCTTCTTCCTCGGTCGGCACGGATCTTATGTCGTCGTTTCTCAACGTTCTGACTCCCGCAACAGTGGACAATTTTAACGTGTGCAATTCAGACCCGTACCAGGCCTCATCATGTGACCTGTTCTGTCCAATAGACTATGTTCCTGGGCCCAGTGGTGTTGGCGTCAAGAATGACGTAATCATAGACTTATCAGAAGACAATGATTGGGTAGACACTTGCAAACGCATCAAGAAGAAATCAGCTTTGTCTAACTTCTTGTCGAAGTTCAAGCGCGGATCAAAAACCACCAAGGTCCGCAAAATCTGTGTTTAAAAGGCCCTTTTTAAAAGCCCCATCTTTTCGAAGAGCCCTTTTACCCCAATCCCCTATTTTTAAGAAAAATATAAAAAAATAACTTTGTCGCCAATACAAGATGTTTTCTGGTAAACTCTGTAACATATGCTATTGAACTTTTTTTACTTGCTTTCCTGTGATCGAAATGCTTTTATCTTGTAACTTAATCGAAATTTGTGTTATCATTGAAGAATTAAAAATGCTCTTAATGAGATTCCTGTGTGTTTTGTGTTCTAATAAACCCTTCGAGGCTTTTGTGCACTGCACCCAGAGCTTGCGCCCTCCTAGACGGTCCCAGACCAGCGGATAAGAAACGCTCGCGAGGGTCTTCCCGACTGCTGGTCTAGGGGGACGCGGGCTCTTGGCGTAAGACTGCACCATATGTCCAACCTCCTGCATGAAAATATTAGAATTCCTGTCTACCACGTCAACTTTGTAAAGAACGAATTCAACATGCCACACCATCTGCAACGTTATACGCAATGGAGTGAGGGGACTAAATAAGACCACTTTCTGCGCTCTTGGCAAACATTAGGAAGCTTTAGATTGGACCACGAGTACGAGATTGAGTAACAGTACGATTTTCGACGTTCAAACCAGTGACGTTTCCAGAGCCCTCGTTCTTCATGCTGGTTTAAGGCAGAGGAGGACGCTCATGGGATGAAATGCGTATGTGTCGTGATAATGTGAAGCCTGTAAACTAGAATTGAAAAGTCGTCTTCGTACTCGATCTCGTACTGGTACTCAAATCTAAAGTCCGCTATTTTCTAACCTCGAAGGAACAATTCGTGTCATAATTCTCTCAACTTTTCATCAACTTGCGCAAATGGACCGCAGTTGTTCGAAGGCTGGATAACGCTATATCCACGGGATAAATCACTATCCAGTGGATAAGCGTTAAGAAAACAAACCGCGCTATCCGCTGGATAGGGATAAATCCGTTAGATAGCTTTATCCACCTTTCGAACCACCCGGGCCTGGCGTCATAAAGGCGATAACGTAACGTCACGAAGTCTCAGTAAGAGATAAAGCTGGTTTTGCCACATTAGGGATGGAACAAGGTGAGTTGACGACGGGCAATTTTCCTGATCATGAACTTTTCCCAAGTTGATTTTGTGCGGAAATTTTATTTTTTGACAGGCCGCCTGGTATGAGAAGAGAAGGGGGGGGGGG